TTTTCTTTGAGGCTTGTTTTTTAGTCTTTGATATGGCAGTTTTAGAGTCTCCTTTCTCTAGGACTAATTCAGCCTTCTACTAAGGTAATATCCTACTGAGAACTCCGTCTGGTGGTTCATTTATTATAGGGTCTTTCTGTTCTGATTGATGGGCATACATATTTGCAGCCTTGTGTATACTTCAGGAATTGTTCAGCCTACTGCTTTCCCTGTCCTTGGGTAATTTTTTTTCCTCCTGTATGCATGGATAAATAGTCAAAGACATGAGTGAATCCGTCTGAAATTCTGCCCAGTAGTCTCTCTTTCTAAACAGTTTTCTCTGCTGTCCTTCTCTGCTTCCAAATCCAGCCACCTTGGATTATTCAAATTCTGATCTCTGTCTCATCACCTCAGCAGGATCTTCATTCTTTGTTTGGGTTCTTCCTTCCTGCTGGGCGTTAAACTGTCTCCATGCAGTAAGCTAGGGCATCAAGGGGTTTATGTCATTTATTTCTTTTTCTTTCAGCTCTGGCTGCCTGTTGTCCAACCTTTGAGAGCTGTTCTTTTACATGTGTCTTCCTGCTTTCCAGTTGTTAAAGGAAAGTGAAAATAATTTGGTTCCTCTTATTCTGTTATAGTGAGAAGTAGAATTCCAGTAATGTTTTAAATACTCATTTAGCTAATACAGTTTTTAAAAATAAAGATGCCAAATGGTACTTTCTTTATGGTGGTGAAATAGACATAATGTAAAACATCATTTTAACTGTTGTTAAATATATAATTCAGTAGCATAAAGCATTCACATTGTTGTACAGTCATCACCACCATCCATCTCCTGAACTCTTTGCACCTTGCAAAACTGAAACCCTATACCCATTAAATAATGACTCCCTATTCTCCTCTCTGCCCAGCCCTTAGCAACCACCATTCTACTTTCTGTCTCTATAAGTTTGATGACTTTAGCAATCTCATAAATGTGCAATCATATAATATTTGTCCTTCTGTGTCATCTTATTTCACTTTGCAAAATATCTTCAAGGTATATCAGTTTTGTGTAAGAATGTCTTTCTTCTTTAAGGAAAGATTTATTACAAAGAGTTGACTCACATAATTATGGAGTCTGAGAAGACTCAAGTTCTGTAATCAGCAAGCTGGAGACCCAGGAGGGCTGATAGTAAAGTTCAAGTCAGAAGAACTAATGGTGTGAGTTTCAGTCTAAATCTGAAGGCGGAAGACTGATTTCCTGGCTTGAAGATATAGGCAGAGAGAGTGACTTCTCCTTTACTCAGCGTTGTTGCCCTATATACACTTTCATCCAGTTGGATGAGGCCCACACAAATTGGGGAAGGAATCTGCTTTACTAAATCTACCCATTCAAATGTTAATCCCATCCAGAAACATCCTTTCAGTCACACCCAGAATAATATTTAATCAAATAACTGGTTACCTTATTTCTCATTCCCACATAAAATTAGCCATCATGCCATTCACCCATTTATGTACACTTGGAGTACTTCCACCTTTTGGCTATTGTGAATAATGCTCCTATTAACATTAATGTACAAGTATATCTGTATGAGTCCCTGCTTCCTTTTGGGTATGAAATGGTATTTCTATATAGTTGTTTTATATGCTTAGTTGAGGTTTAGAATTCTAGTTACTGGATCACTTTAATCACTAGAGCCATGCTTTTAAAAAAACAGTCATGTCACATCTGATGCATATTTAGGTTATATGGATTCAAATCTATTATATTTTATAGGTTATCAAAGAGATTTTCAATGGAAATCTTTCGTTATACTCGATTTTTGTATAATTTGCCTTTGGAACCCAGTCTCAGGGTAAAACGCAACTTTATAGTATTGCTTTTCTTTTACAAAGCAGAAAAATAATTTCTGACAGTTCTTTTCTATATGTCTTATCAATGCTAAGGAAGTAAAAAAATCTATATCAGTTTCTCTAGTTGACAGGAAAAATTGAGAAACGTCTTTTTACTTAGTTGTTCATTTTATCATTCAAAGGAATGTTTTGAGCAAAGCTAAACCACATTTTTGTATTCATAACTGTTTATTCTACATAATGGGAAAAAGGGGGAGCTAGAATATTATATAGAATTGGTATGGTGATTTTGAAAGAACACTGAGTTCTGTTTTGAGAGATATGTTTATTTTATTAATCCCATCTACTACTAAGCTATGATTTTAGACAAGCCATTTTACCTGAGTTCATTTTCTTGTCTGAAAGTCAGTGAAGATTATAATACTTGTTACTATTTCACAGGATTGTGATGATCAAATGAAGTAATGTGTATGAAGTGCTCTGAAATCTTTAAAGTGATATATAGATGTTAAGGCTGCATTTTATGAACTAAGTACAGAAAAGAGCTATTAGAAGCAACATGTGCTCATGTATGGACAGTTTCTATGTCTGATTAAAAACATTTGTAAGTTTTGAATTGTAGATGACTGTGAAGTAAAGAAATCTCATTTTGCCCCAGAACCTCAATTCACTGGAAGAAGTAAAGTGAGAATATTCTAGCCATCGCAAGTCAATTTTTGATATTAAAACCCTTATATCTTTATTTTGAAAAGGTTTATAAGGTGGTAAGAACTTTATTCATGAGAAGAATTGTCAGCATATGTCCCTTTTTAAGGCCAGTATATGCGACATTTTCATCTTACTAGAGTTTACAAACATTTTTTATATTGAGGATAGTGTATTTTTGTGTGAGTTGAATTTGATATAAGAATTTTTAAAGAGTGCTAAACAGTGATTCTTTTAATGAAGCTTTTGGTGGCTTGTTTTTGTGTTCTACAGAGAGAGGTTAGTGACTGGAGGTAGACAAAATACTTTTTGCTCTGGCATATTTCGATGATGTTCTGTACAGAAGGATGTGTTATATTTCTGTGAGAGACAGAAATAAAGTGTTATTTCTGAGATACTTCTTTTGTAGGAAAGGGACTGCTTTGCTTCAAAACATATTGTAAGAGCTTTTGTCTTCAGGAACTTGAGTTAGAATGAAGAAGCTAAACACCTAACCTTTATTTCTTGATTAGACAAAAATGATTTCACATCTGTTTGGAAATGAGTAAATTTGAAGTTTTAAGTTTTTTGTGTGATTTTAGAAATGACCCTTTGATGACAGATAATGAGAACTTTTGCCTCATCCTACAATATGAACCTAAAAGATATTAAATGCTTGTTGACAGACTGATTCTAGGGCTGGTACAGGAAAGATACAAGATGAGGCTGAAGCATCTTTTAATGGTAGAAAGTGAGGAAGTGCAGAAAAAGCAAAAGGATAAGAGCATGTCAAAAGGACACAGGAGGTATCTGAAAGAGCTTACAATAGTCATGGCTGGAACAATTTGAGGAGCAAAATAAATGGTGTAGTATTGGATTATAACCTAAAGTATACAATAAGTGTCCACAAGTCCATGCTCATGTAAATGTTATTGAATAATTGTGTAAATGGATGAAGAGAGATCAATCTTCCATACAGAATAATTATAATAATATATGTAGATGTTTTTTGCTATAGGAGGTAGAGCATAATTCCTCCTCTTTCCTTGAGGGCAGGCCAAACATAGTTACCTCCAAAGAATAGATTATGGAGAGGGAAAAACAGTAACTTTATAGTGGAGAAGCCTGGAATATGGTACCTTAATCAAGTAATGAAGGTTAGCATCTTTGGTGATGGCTTGTTGATAATTATGTTTCCCTTGCCATGATCTCTTGAGAATGACAATAGATCTCAGTGATATTCTTTCCAGAAATCATAACTCTAATCTAATCATAAGGAGAAACATTCGATGAACCCAAATTGAGGGTCATTCTGTAAAATACCTGCCACATAGTCCTCAAAACTGTCAAGATCTTGGAAAAGAAGGGAAGACCAAGAATTATCACAGACCACAGAGACTGGGGAGAGATAATAATTACATGTAATGTGGTGTCCTGAATGGAATCCTGGAAGAGAAAATGAACATAAATGGAAAAACTGGTGAAATATGAATAATGCTTGGGCTTTAGTTAGTAGTAATATACCAATATTGGTTTATTCATTTTGGTAAATGTACCGTGATGTTATAAAATATTACTAATAGGGGAAAGTGAGTAAAGGGTATAATACACTCTTCTCACTGTCTTTCAGTTTTTCCGTCAGTCTAAAATTACTGCAAAACTTGGCCATGCGTGGTGGGTCATGACTATAATCCCAGCACTTTGGGAGGCACTTGAGTCCAGGGGTTTGAGACCAGCCTGGGCAACATGGTGAAACCCTGTCTTTATGAAAAATACAAAATATAACCTGGCATGGGGGCACCCACCTGTAGTCCCAGCTACGCAGAAGGCTGAAGTGGGAGGATCATTTGAGTCTGGGAGGCAGAGCCAAGATTGTACCACTGCATTCCAGCCTAGGTGATGGAGTAAGACTTCCTCTCCCCTCTAAAAAAAAAGAAAACGAAAACCAAAACAAAACTCCTTGACAGAGTTTTGTTGGTTGGTTGCATGGAATTGGAATCAAATGATGTGAAGAATAGAAACTGTGTAAACTAATTTTTGCTAGTTGGCATGTTTTAACAATTTTCTCCCTAAAAATGGAATAATATGTTATATTCATACTATATATTTATAAGTTTCTTCATTCATAAAGAGTCATTTCAGTTGTATATAAATTTGACGACTTTTTAAAAGTCATATTAATGTCTGAAACTTTTAAATGAGATTACTAAGGTACAAATTAATAGCTGTCTGTTTTGAAGGGAAGAAGTTAATAGTTTAATATAATGATGTGTAGAATCTGAGTTGTGGTTGTTTTTAGAATTATGATTTTGAAAGTGCTTATGTTAATATTGTGCTTGATCATAATATAGTATTTTGGAAATTCAATTTAGTAGCTTTATCAGTTAAAGCAACACATAAAAGTTAATAGAACAAAAGAATACTTTAAATTAAAATATAATCCTTGTTACAAACTATGAAAACGAATGTAAGTAAATTTCATATTATTTCTTTTCTAGATTTATTATCAAGGATAGATTTGGATGAACTAATGAAAAAAGATGAACCGCCTCTTGATTTTCCTGATACCCTGGAAGGATTTGAATATGCTTTTAATGAAAGTAAGTGGTATATCTACATATAGTATATGCAAAATTTATTTGACAATGCTCATAGAATAATAAGACAGATATTATTTGCTACTTTTAAAGGCCAAGTAGAATGTTTTCTGTATTCTTTTGAGAAGTAAGGGACTTATCCTTGCATGGTGAAATTTTTCATTCAAGTGAAAGAACCAAGTAACAATTTCCTGTAGTTGTCAAGTTATGTAAACTAATCGTCATGAATTTGATTCAGCTTATGCATTTCAACCCTGAGTGTTTAACTCCCTGGTTGACGTGCATAAGGATAAGAACAATTTGAACTCCTAATTAAATTATAGAGAAAGATGCTACTGTTTCACACGTTACTTAAAGTATCTGGCAATAATTATCTGTAACAATGTTTTAAAGTAGCTTTCCATGATTTTTCAGGCAACATCCTTGTTTTAAAATTTATTAATTCAGTTCTGAATAAAATAACCTTTATATTTGGGGTATGGAGGAACATACTATAGATTGCAAGGATATTTCTGGAACAGAGAATCATGATTCATTGGATTAATAATACACTGTTACACTTGAAGGGTAATGTTATTACAGGGTAGATGCATTTGAGTTGTAGTTTTCTATTGGTTGTTCTGCATTAACTAAATTGATGCTTTGTCATCATTGTATTAGTGGATATTCCTTTCCAATATTAGTTACAGATAATAAGACTTATGGTGACAGTCATTGTGTACTAAGATGTTTAGTTTAAAGTAAGAGACTAGAAACTTTGATCTTTTCTCTGATATTAATTTTTATAGTTTTTAGTAAAAGTTATTTTATGCCAACAGAAGTAGTAACATTTGTTGCTTGGAGGGGAAGAGTAGTGTAAGCAATTGGCCTGTAGTGTGTTTTTCTCCTGGTTATCCTGGGAATACCCCTGGGGAAAAATCCTGTCCAGGGGCTGAGTGGCTTGGTCTTTTCTCCTTATAAACATGCTGATAATTAATTCACTTAATAGATTAGACTGCCTGGACACGGTGGCTCATGTCTGCAATCCTAGCACTTTGGGAGGCAGAGGTGGGTAGATCACCTGAGGTCAGGAATTCAAGACCAGCCTGGACAACATAATGAATCCTCATCTCTACTAAAAAATTTAAAAATTTAGATGGGCATAGTGGCATGTGCCTGTGGTACCAGCTACTCTGGAGTCTGAGGCTTAATAATCGCATGAACCTGGGAGGCGGAGGCTGCAGTGAGCCAAGATTGGGTCACTGCACTCCAGCCTGGGTGACAAAGCAAGACTCCATCTAAATAAAAATAAAAATAAATGCAGACTAATATTTGCTATGAGGATTATTTTTCTATAGAATACTTTGAGCAGGATGACTGGTTTTAGATATGAGAAATGTTTCTCTGAAGAATATCACATAGGCAAGACAACTCTTATGCACATAAAATGGAAATGTTTTATAACCTAAATGCTCATCAGGGTGTGAGGTTACCTGTATGCATCACATAGAGACCTCATCTACTTTGAGCCAGAGAGTGGTATACCGTGAGAGGAAAGGACCTGGGAGAAATGACTGGATGCTGCAGACCTCTCCCTGCCTTGCCTATGCTGCTTGATTCCTTCTACCCTTGAAATTATTTGTAAAGCTTAGTCATTATCGGTGAAGATCTTCACTTTGTGTGAGTCTGATTTGATAGTCTGAGCCTGTGTTAGCTCGCTGCTTGTCTCCAATTTTCATTTGACATCTTACACATATTTGAAGACCTACTTGAGAAATCTCACTGAAACCTTCTGAACCTCTTCTAGCCCACAGAGAGTTTTTATTTTTCCAAAATAATTCTAGACTTCATTGTCTATATGAATGACTGTTGATGAATTTCAATCTTGTTTGTTTAGCTTCCTGAAAAGTTGTTTACCTTCTTAATATTTATGCCTTTACTCCTCAGGTAACCTCTAAGCTTCTTGAGGATGGGGGCCATGTTCATAGCAATAGCTAGCAGAAGTCTTGATACATATTAGGCCTTAAAATATTGTTTGTTTGCTTTAGATTAGAGAGATGAAGGTCAAGAAGAATAACTTTTGAGTACTTGGGGACCATTCTTAATCTGCATGTTTGTATCATATTGACATCTGAAGAAAAAAGTCTAATGAAAAAGATAAACTATTGCGTGAAAGTTATTGTAATTTTTTATCAGACGTTCTTTGTTGTACTGTCTGTATTATTGTAAATATACTTTGAAGTAAAGCAGTGTTGTTTGTTTATCTTCTCAGAGGGACAGTTAAGACACATAAAAACTGGGGAACCATTTGTTTTTAACTACCGGGAAGATTTGCACAGATGGAACCAGAAAAGATACGAGGCTCTAGGAGAGGTATGTCACATACACTACTTTAATTTGTTTTTCCCAATTTCAAATATTCAGCGTAAAATTTTGAAGATGCAGCAGTTTATGCATTCTTTCTACGAAATGTGATTCAAAAAAGGTTTTTGCTTTTTTTGTTGTTTATTTTTAGTGGTTATGTTAGAAGCATATTCTCAATTTAAAAGTTTCTGTTTTTAGGCCAGCTGTTGTGGCTCACACTTATAACCCCAACACTTTGGGAGGTCAAGGTGGGAGAATCACTTGAGGCCAGCAGTTGGAGATGGAGTGAGACCAGTCTGGATATTATAGTGAGATCATATCTCCACAAAAAATAAAAAAAATTAGCCAGAAGTAGGGATGTGTGCCTATAGTCCTAGTTACTTGGGAGGCTGAGGTAGGAGGATCACTTGAGCCCAGGAAGTCAAGGCTGCAGGGAGCTGTAATCACACCACTGCACTCCAACCTTGCTGACAGAGTTAGACCCTGTCCCCCAAAAGAAAAAGCTGCTTCTTTTTTTTTTTTTTTTTTATGAAAGAGAAAGGGGGAGAGAGAACAGGAGTCTTGCTCTATTGCCCAGGCTGGAATGCAATCTAAAAATAGGTATTAAAAAACCTCTTTTATGCTGATAATTGTACTTAACAGTGGAGACAGGAAGGAATAAGGAAAGAAAATAACAAACAAACAGCCAACCAATATTTCATTTAAATCTGTGAAATGCTATGCAAATGCTGAAGAGTGATTTACTTCCATTTATGTGGTCACTTTAAAAATAGGTATAATGTGATACTGAAAAAAAATGTATGTTCTGTGGACCTGGGGTGAAGAATTCTATAAATATTCACTGAGTTTACTTGTTCCGGGTCTGAGTTCAAATCATAAATGTCCCTGTTGATTTTCTATCTCGTTGATCTGTCGAATATTAACAATGTGGTGTCAAAGTCTCCCGCTATTATTGTGCGGGAGTCCAAGTCTCTTTATAAGTCATTAAGAACTTGTCTTATGTATCTGGGTGCTCCTATATTGGGTGCATATATATTTATGATCATCGACTCTTGTTGTTACATTGATCCTTATACCATTATGTAATGTCCTTCTTTGTTTCTTTTAGTCTTTGTTACTATCTATTAAAGTCTATTTTGTCAGAGACAAAAGTTACAACTCCTGTTTTTTTTTTTTTTNTTTTTCCTTTCCATTTGGTTGGTAAGTCTTCCTCGAACCTTTTGTTTTGAGTCTTTGTGTGTCCTTGCTTATGAGATGGATCTGGATACAGCGTGCCAATGGGTTTTGACTTTTTATTCAATTTGCATGTCTGTGCCTTTGATTGGGGTGTTTAATCCATTTAAATTTAGGATTAATATTGATATTTGTGAGTTTAATATTGTCATTTAATGCTAGCTGGCTATTTTGCCCATTAGTTGATATAGATTCTTCATTATGAAGATACTCTTTACCTTTGGTAAGTTTTTGGGATGACTGATACTGGTTGTTCCTTTCTGTGTGTAGTGCTTCTTTCAGAAGCTCTTGTAAAGCAGGCCTGGTGGTGATGAAATCTCTGAGTCCTTGCTTGTTTGCAAAAAATTTTATTTTTCCTTCATTTATGAAGCTTAGTTTGGCTGGATATGAGATTCTGGGTTGAAAATTCTTTTCTTTGAGGATATTGAATATTGACCCCAACTCTCTTCTAGTTTGTAGGGTTTCTGCTGAGAGATCTGCTCTAAGTCTGATAGGCTTCCCTTTATGGGTAACCTGACCTTTCTCTCTAGCTGTCCTTAGAATTTTCTCCTTTATTTCAACCCTGGTGAATCTAACGATTATGTGTCGTAGGGTTGCTCTTCTTGAGGAATATCTTTGTGGTGTTCTCTGTATTACCTGGAGTTGAGTATTGTCCTGCCTTACTAGGTTAGGAAAGTTTTCCTGAATAATATCCTGAAGAATATTTTCCAGCTTGGATTCATTCTCTTCATGACATTCAGGTACACCTATCAAATGTAAATTAGGTCTTTTCACATAGTCCCATATTTGTTGGAGACTTTGTTCATTCCTTTTCACTTTTTCTTCTCTAATCTTGTCTTCTCGTTTCATTTCATTAAGTTGGTCTTTGACCTCTGATATCCTTCTGCTTGATCAATTCGAGTGTTAAAACCTGTGCATACTTTGCGGAGTTCTCGTATTGTATTCTTCAGTTCCATTAATTCACTTATATTCGTCTCTAAATTGTCTATTCTCGTTAGGATTTCGTCAGACCTTTTTTCAAGGTTCTTAGTTTCTTTACATTGGGCTAGAACATGTTCTTTTAACTCACAGACGTTTCTTACTATCCACCTCTGTTATTGGAACACACTTGTTCTCCATCAGGCCTTGTTCGCTTGTTGATAAGGAACTGTGATCCCCTATAGAGGGAGAGGCATTCTGATTTTGAGTATTCTCAGCCTTTTTACACTGGTTTCTTCCCGTCATTGTAAATTTATCCACCTGTCGTCTTTGTCATTACCGACTTTCAAATTAGGTCTCTGACTGGAAGTCTAGCTTGTTGATTCCCAGCGCCGAAATCTGAGCAACCCACTGCGCCGGCTAAAACAGCGACGTTAAGATTCTTGGTGCTTTTCTGCCTGGGAATCTCCGGTCTGGCTTCCCTCTTGAGTCCCTTTTTCAATCAGCTGAATGGGCGACTCTGCCTTCCTGGAGCTCCAAACGTCAACCAAAAGGGGACCCAGTTCTATTTACTCTGCACTGAGAACCGCTGCGTGGAGGTGCCGGCAAAACCGCCTCGCTGGCCACAAGAGTGGCGCTGGCGACCCGTGGGGCTCCTCCGCTGGGAATCTCCTGCTCCGTGAGTAACAAAAATTCGTCTGAAAGTGTGGTGTCCTCTTGTTCTCTGCGCTTTCACTGGGAGCTACAATCCTGAGCTACTAGTGGTCAGCCATCTTGGATCTCTCTCCAAAAAAACTTCTTTTTTACACAAACATATACTTCCCATGACTGTAATATTTTGTATTGAGTCATTATATAAGGAAGCAAATTTATGCAAAATTCTAATTTGATTTTTTAAGTTTTGTTTGGTTTTTGAGACAGGGTCTCACTGTCACTCAGGCTGGAGTGCAGTGGCATGATCTCATCTTACTGCCTCCCAGGTTCAAGTGTCTTGTGCTTCAATCTCTGAGTAGCTGGGACTACAGGCACGCACCACCACACCCACCTAATTTTTTTCTGTATTTTTAGAAGAGATGGGGTTTCACCATGTTGGCCAGGCTGGTCTTGAACTCTTGACCTCAGTGATCCCTCCCAAAGTGCTGGGATTACCAGCGTGAGTTACCCCAAGGAGCCTAGAAATGTTTTTAAGAGGTTGAATCCCCTACTATGCCAGAATGAATAAGTGTTCTTTCAGGTGTTTATTTGTGTGAAGAATATTGACATGTGGCTAATAAGTTAAATTTAACCTACTTATATATGACTGGATAAAGGAGTAGGCCTTGTGAACATTAGGTACTTCACATGGTACTGCTTGTAGGAACCTTTGAAAATGTCATTTGCCATTTAGAAGAATAGTTTGGTAAAGTGAAAAGTTTTACTCATCCTGTGTCATATTAAGTGCCATTTTTTAATAAAAATGTAGATGGATACATAAGTGTAGTTTAATAACTAGTTACATTAGTTTTCTAAGGAGAAACTGAAATTTCTGTATTTTTTTGTTTTTGAGTGCTAAAAATGAATTACTTGGTTAAATTATCATGTAAAGAATATATGGTAACGTAAGTATAATAGCATGAAGAATATATCATTTTCTGGGAGACAGTTCTTGGATCTTCTGCATTTCCGTATGTCTCTGAGCAAAGGCTTTGACAGCTTTTGCTCTGGATCATCTTTTCAAGGACAACTGTATAGGAAACAGGCTTCAAAAACAGAGGTGTGTCACCCTCCAAGGCAGTGGGCAGATTTATTTGCTGCCCAGGATAAAAAGATAATACCCCTCCATTTCCCCACTGACAGCAAAAGATTGCTAGGAGACCCTTTAGAAGACTTTTCATAAATGTACCAAGATTAAGGCTTTTGCCATTTAAAAGTATTTGATAAAAATAGACTATACATGGTGTAATTTATTGGAAGATATTAATAGTTATGTTACAGGACAGGGGTCCTGTTTCAGACCCCAAGAAAGGGTTCTTGGATCTCACATAAGAAAGAATTCAGGGCAAGTTCATAAAGTACAAACAAGTTTATTAAGAAAGTAAAGGAATAAAAGAATAGCTACTCCATAGATAGAGCAGCCCCGAGGGCTGCTGGTTGCCCATTTTTATGTTTATTTCTTGATGATATGCTAAACAAGGGGTGGATTATTCATACCTCTCTTTTTAACTATATAACCCTATAGGGTAACTTCCTTTTTTTTTGACATGGAGTCTTGGGCTGTTGTCCAGGCTGGAGTGCAGTGGCATGATCTCAGCTCACTGCACCATCCGCCTCCTGGATTCAAGTAATTCTTTGCCTCAGCCTCCCAAGTAGCTGGGATTACAGGTGAGTGCCACCACGCACAGCTAATTTTTGTATTTTCTAGTAGAGACATGGTTTTCCCACGTTGGCCAGGCTGGTCTCCAACTCTTGACCTCAGGTGATCCACCTGCCTTGGCCTCCCACATCTAGGGTAACTTCCTGACATTGCCATGGCATTGGTAAACTGTCATGGTGCTTGTGGGAGTGTAGCCATGAGGGCAACCATAGGTCACTCTCATGGCCATCTTAGTTTTGGTTGGTTTTGGCCAGTTTCTTTACTGCAAACTGTTTTATGAACAAGGTCTTTATGACCTGTATCTTGTGCCAACCTCCTGTCTTATCCTGTGACTTAGAATGCCTTAATTGTCTAGAAATGTATCCCAGTAGGTCTTAGCCTCATTTTACCCAGCTCCTATTCAAGATGGAGTTGTTTTGGTTCCAACACCTCTGACATTTCCACCCTTCCTTTTATAAGACATCCCTTAATCCTAAGGGTTGCAGAGGGACGAAGATCCATCTTC